GGCGAGAATGGCCACAGTGCTGCTCCCTCCCCGTAGCCACTGTGGCTTTGCAGGCACATAAGTGATTCAGGCCAAACTGCCCACCCGTGGAATCACGAACAAAATAAGCATCTTAAGCCCCTAAGTTTGTGATGATTCAGAAGTTTCCATAAACCTCATTCAAGTCGTGCTTGGGCAGCACCATAAATTCCAGAGAAAAGGGGTGTGTAGGCTAAGGAATGGCTCCCCAAAATATCCAGGTCCCTGAGTGTGGCCTTATACGGCAACATGAACCTGTGCAAATGATTCCATGAAGGATCTTGAGAAAGGGGGTGTGTTTAGACTGGATTTTCCAAATGAGTCCTAACTGCAATTGTAAGTACTGTATCTTTTCTCTTTTTTTTAATGTATTTTTATTGCTTTCATAGAGGAAGGGAGAGGGATAGAGAAACATCAATGATAAGAGAGAATCACCAATTGGCTGTCTCCTACACGCCCCCTACTGGGGATTGAGCCCAAAACCCAGGCTTGTGCTTTGACCGGGAATCGAACCCTGACCTCCTGGTTCATAGGTTGATTCCCAACCACGGAGCCATGCGGTTGGACGGGGAGGTCACCTTTTTAAGCTGGATCTTGACAAACTGGCAGGACTTTGGGGAAGTACAAAAAGCAGAAGTGACCGTCTTTAAGTGCATCTGAGGGGCTCCAAGCACAGTCACTGAACCGTCTCTTCTTCTGGTCTTAGAAACAAGGCTGGTGCCAAACCACCACGGCTCTTGGTTGAGCCTTGACCTATGAACCAGGAGGTCATGGTTTGATTCCCAGTTGGGGCACATGCCCTGGTTGCAGGCTCGGTCCCCAGCAGGGGGCGTGCAGGAGACAGCCCATCAATGATTCTCTCTCCCTCTCCTTTCCTCTCTGAAATCAATAAAAATATTATTTTTTAAAAGAAAGAAAGAAAGAAGGCTGGTCGTCTGCAAGGGCCCAGGCTGCTGGCTCCATACCCAGTCCTCCATCCCAGCCTGGAACTCCACTTCACAGCAAACCCAGGGGAGGTCTTGCTCATCCTTCGGAGCAAAAAGCCGGGCCCAGAACGCCACCCACCTCCGCCGAGGCCCGGGTCCCAGCCGTGGGCACTGTTGGAGTAGTAGAAGCCGTTGTAGAAGGGCAGGCCGGGGACGCAGGGCAGCAGGAGCAGCAGGACCAGGAGCGGCAGGCGGCCCATGGCGGCGTGCATGGCGGCAGCGCCAGCGTGTCCTGGGCAAGGCTGAGGCCAGGCAAATGGGAAAGAAGAGAAAAGCAAGCCAGTTAAAGGCGCCCCTTTTCAGAGAGCCGGGACCCCTGGGTTCCAGCACCCACTCATTCTCCCGCTTAATAGGTATTTGAGGAGCATCGTCCACGCACTGAGCACTGTTCTCAGAACCTGGGTCTTATTGGTTGGGTCTTAAGCCCCTAAGTTTGTGATGATTCAGAAGTTTCCATAAACCTCATTCAAGACGTGCTTGGGCAGCACCATAAATTCCAGAGAAAAGGGGTGTGTAGGCTAAGGAATGGCTCCCCAAAATATCCGGGTCCTAAATCCCTGAATGTGGCCTTATACGGCAACATGAACTGTGCAAATTGATTCCATGAAGGATCTTGAGAAAGGGGGTGTGTTTAGACTGGATTTTCCAAATGAGTCCTAACTGCAATTGTAAGTACTGTATCTTTTTTTTGAAATGTATTTTTATTGATTTCAGAGAGGAAGGGAGAGAGACAGAGAAACATCAGTGATGAGAGGGAATCATAGATCGGCTGCCTCCTGCACGCCCCCTACTGGGGATCGAGCCCGCAACCCAGGCTTGTGCTTTGACCGGGAATCGAACCCTGACCTCCTGGTTCATAGGTTGATTCCCAACCACGGAGCCATGCGGTTGGACGGGGAGGTCACCTTTTTAAGCTGGATCTTGACAAACTGGCAGGACTTTGGGGAAGTACAAAAAGCAGAAGTGACCGTCTTTAAGTGCATCTGAGGGGCTCCAAGCACAGTCACTGAACCGTCTCTTCTTCTGGTCTTAGAAACGAGGCTGGTGCCAAACCACCACGGCTCTGTGGTTGAGCCTTGACCTATGAACCAGGAGGTCACGGTTCGATTCCCAGTCGGGGCACATGCCCTGATCGCAGGCTCGGTCCCCAGTAGGGGGCGTGCAGGAGGCAGCCCATCAATGATTCTTTCTCATCATTGATGTTCCTCTCTCTCTCCCTCTCCTTTCCTCTCTGAAATCAATAAAAATATTTTTTTAAAAGAAAGAAAGAAGGCTGGTCGGCTGCAAGGGCCCAGGCTGCTGGCTCCATACCCAGTCCTCCATCCCAGCCTGGAACTCCACTTCACAGCAAAGCCAGGGGAGGTCTTGCTCATCCTTTGGAGCAAAAAGCCGGGCCCAGGACGCCACCCACCTCCGCCGAGGCCCGGGTCCCAGCCGTGGGCACTGTTGGAGTAGTAGAAGCCGTTGTAGAAGGGCAGGCCGGGGACGCAGGGCAGCAGGAGCAGCAGGACCAGGAGCAGCAGGCGGCCCATGGCGGCGTGCATGGCGGCAGCGCCAGCGTGTCCTGGGCAAGGCTGAGGCCAGGCAAATGGGAAAGAAGAGAAAAGCAAGCCAGTTAAAGGCGCCCCTTTTCAGAGAGCCGGGACCCCTGGGTTCCAGCACCCACTCATTCTCCCGCTT